AATATATATATATATATATATATATTATAAGCAGTTTTCTTATAATATATATATATATATTACTATGACAGTCAAATCTTGGTAACAAATAATTATAAGCCAGAGACGTGTTGGTTTTGACAGCCCTTAAATATTACGTAAACTATTTTTAAATTTGATAATACCTAGTGTTTCCATGGATACGAGCTTTTTGCCCAGGACGTCACCTTGATTAAAATATGGAAATGAAAAAGGCAGTTTAATATTTGTGCCAGGTGTAAGGCAATAAATAGCCCCTAAATCTGGCATGTTATGGTCTGCGTTTCTTAAACTACCGAACTATCTACTACGACTATGAATCGAAGAAATGATAGGTTTGATATTTGTATGTATAGCAAATACAAACAAATCTAAAAGTGAATTAATGTGTCGGTCATGCATTTCATATTTCTGAACACGCAGAGATTGACTTATTTGGAGTCGATTGGAACAAATGGCGTCCTTATTAAATGTTTGCGTACGACTTTATTATTTGGAAAGCCTGCGATGAATAGCTTCATTTTTATGAGCTTTCAGCGCTAAACTCACTATTTATTAAGCATATACGTTGAAATATACGTATCTAAAGATTTGTTGTGAATTACTATTGTTGTTATCTCAAAATTTCGTTGAAAAGTGCAAACCTAGAGGAAGACCGAGAAAGATTTGGATGGACTGTGTATATTTCTGTGAAAGGTCAGTTCCAGGGTGACTGCTAGATCTTTTGTCATTCATATAACCCTTCTAAATACACTTGAATGTAACCATGTCAAGTAAATCACCTTTTAATATGAAACATTTTCATATTAAAGGTGATTTACTTGAATTTTTATCAAAACTGCAGTGGAATATTGAATCATTTGAAAGTAAACAAAATGTCAAAGAATTTTGTTAAATTATTGCCTTGATAAGACGTGAACGTCAAATCGCCCTTAAATTGAAACGTTGTCTGGGGATATTGTACAAAAATGCAAATGAATTTGATTTATTAAATGCATCTGCGTCAGTTGTAAAATCTGTGACTTCTGAATTTATGGCAAAACGTGATATGCAAAATGCTGTATAGTTGATAAGTCTATGAATTCTTGTATAGAACACATGCATGAAAATACATAAATTTATATTTCTCGTAGTTGCTGGTTATGACGTTTCACATGATAAAACTATTAAACGCACTGTAATTACTTTCTGCATAAATTTTTGATCACAGAATTGAAACAATTTGTGACGTCAAAACGTCAAAAAAACCTCACAGAGTGAACAAATTGTTTATTCTGAATTAATTCAGAATGTATTTAAAAATCGTTTAATTACAAAATTTCTACTGACAAATGACTGTTTTCACTGAATTTAAATAAAAGTAGGAACATAAAATAACACTTTTGTGTAAAGTAAAAATAAAGAATCCAAAAAATTTATAATTTATAATATTATACTGAAACAGAAATTATTATTCAGGTCACCATTCAGCATTACTAAAAATTTGCTAACCGGCGAACTTAAATTTAAATTACCTTAAGTTAAAGCGGTCTACGCCAGCGAAAATATGTAATATTCGCCAAATTATCTGAATTGAATCGATATTCAACGTTTATTACGAAAATCATGTAGACGATAGGCCAATTTTTTTTTAAATGTTTTAACTAAACTTTAAAATGTATAAAACCAAAAATCAAAAACCAAAAACTTACCAAAAATATATATAATACTTTTCCAACAATTTAACACGTGTTGAAAATTAATGTAGTCATAGTTTTCACTGAATAAATAACTGTTACCAGATTTATACTACATATGTGTAGTAAATTAATATAGTTATAGTTTTTAAATAGATTATTGTTGTTTCCAAGTGTATCCTAGATATTTTTGAATGACTAACTGAATAGTAACTACTATTCCACAGGTGACATAGTGGTAACATACATTATACCCAATAGCTCAGGTTAGCTAAAGCTAGCTCCCTACCCTTCTAGACTAAGAAAGTAGTAAGAGCGATCTTTATTAAAAACGACTCCAGACTGTTTATGAAAATTTATCGTTTTTCTATGCTATGGGAAGTCAACGAACAAGTGAGTCACCTGATGGTATCACCGAAGAAAGTGATCATCGCTGCCCATGGAAATTTGCAACTCTGGAGGAGTTGCGAGATCATGACGTATAATATGATATGTGCAGAAAATAACTCAATAAAAATAATAAAAAGAAAACAAAACCGTTACCAAATGAAAAGAGTGCTAACTATAAACTATTAAAAATTCTCACCATAATAACAATGAAACTAAACATAATTATACGTATATACGTAGTAACTGATGTAGAACGTCGTAGGTCTTAGTAGGTCTTCGCAGATCGTCGCGTATATTGACACGATGAAGTTTTAAGCAAAAACGACTGACAGATTATCACAACCTTGTGTCGACTAAGGCATTAGCTACACCCATGGGGTTGCAGATGCGTTGCTATATTATAATAAAGTGAAACAGAAGTATAACACTTCCACTTCACGCCAGTCTTCTTTGTGCTGGTACTTTCCGGACGGACTGCCCATACGTGCAACAACTAAGGCTGTTGGGTGAACCTGCCACATATTCATAATTTTGTTTAGGATGTTTACAAAAACCACGCTCAAAATGTAATAAAATGTAATATAATACGAGTCCGCAATATTTCAAAATGTTTTCGAGCGGTAACAAATGGCCGGATCTACATTTGCTCGCACAGCAACGTTCAAGTTCCGTAAGCCACATAAAACGTCATTAGCCGACGTCCGCAAGCTACATTTCCTGCTATTACCGGGATTGCAACGGGAATAAAATTTCATACCAGATGCTTGGAAATTTTCACTATTTTACATTTTTGCTACTCGTTCTTTGATCTTTGTCTCTAATGTCTTAGGACTGCGCTTCAAGCATGTCTGTTGGCTATTATATTCCTGTTAAATTTACTCAAAGCCACCCATCACCCTTACATTATTTAAAAACAATACAGTTCAATACTACTTGTATGCTATTTATGATTTCATTTATTCTCTATTTGATTCATTGTATCAAATTTTTTTTAATGCCAACATCGATCTCATTCGGCCGAACGTTTCCGAGTTTAGGGTCGTCTATATTTTTTGCACTCCCCTTTTAGCACTTCAAAAGAATTTATCAACGTCAGATCCAATATTTATCTTTGTACGCGGCCCAAAATAAGATTCTCCGTCAAAGACAAATCTCATTTCATGTGTAAATGTCGGCTTTGTTTTAGTTTCATAATGTTATTAACTTACTCAAATTGTTCCATTTCCGCGCTATGATTTCACGTAACATAAATAAGTATGTTTGTATTAAAACAAGTAATACTCTGATAATAGAACTTATTTTCCTGCCCATAACCGCTGAAGTTCACTTCCTTCAGAAGCATTTCTTTGGCTAATGCTAACAGAAGCGTAACTCAAACTACAAGGGGCAGCTGCTTATTATTATCTGTAAGTTTATACATTTTGATATAGTTGTGTTGTGTTGAAGTAACAATAAGCATCGAATATTTATCGATTCACTTCTTATGCCCGTTATAAACACAAGTATTTCTATATAAATAAGGATATTATTAAATACGTAAAACTTAATTTAATATGCCGAAAACGAGCCTAGCGCGGAGATAAAAACGATTTTTCCCGTGTCATAGAAACTCATTTATAGTCCCCCCACAAAGATAAATATTGAATCTGACATTGATAAATTCTTTCACAACGTTAACGGGGAACCCAAAAAAGTGTATAGGGAATTAAGATACATTTTCTTAAAATAGGCACAGAAATAACTTCAAAACACTACGTTATTTAAAATGTGCCAGTGGGGTTTTTTTAGGTATGTTTTCTTCAAACTACTTCACACAAATCTAATCTATTTTATGCTTAACATTTGGAACTTCAAAAACAAAACACTGAAAAAATATAATTTTAATTTAGTAAAACCCCAAAAAGTAATTCAAGTTAATTAAATACCAAGTAATTATTTATAACAACAGCTTGCCAGATTTGGTTTTAGAAAAATAATTTTAAATTAATAACATTAACTATATTATTAATAACATGTAGGTTTTTATATATTATTTTTTATAGAAAAAGTACAATTTCATTCGTGACGGTTTCATTATTTACTTTCTAATTTTTATTTATGTAACTGTACACATTTCGAAAAAGATCTGATGTGTAGGTTGATTGGTACACTAAGAAGTATATATATATATCATCAACGATCTGCCCTTATCCTACGTAGGTAATGAAAAATCAATATATTTAGCGTAAGCAAAAACCAAATACCATGCAAAAGAAAGCAGACTTTATCTTTAAAAATCCGTAATTGGAAGCAATAAGCGACTGTATTAAATAGTTAGAACTTTACAACGTTTGTGCAATAATAAGGTAATAAAATTATCTTGGAAATTTTGTGTTCATTGCCACTGTGATCCTAGTGACAGGTTCTGGTTCTACCTAGAATATATTTAAGAAACTTACAATCAAATACCCTCTTATTGAACGGGGTGTTTTGGCTCAGAGCCAACATTTTATTTTTAGTAGTCTAGAAAGATTTTCTAATACCCAACACTAATATCATTCCAGACATCGATGCGCACATTATATTCGGTAAATAGTAATAAACGGTTTTTAGAGATACGCGTAACAGTTTAGATTGAAAAGTTTTCTGGATTAAACGTTAGACTATTTAATATATTAACAGAGTAGTAGTTTTTTTTAGTGTTCACCGACTGTTTTTCTAAAATAATTTGTTATCGAAAAATCGTCTGTCTTAACACGACAAAAAAATTATTTCATTGACTAAGATTATTAATAATTATTTCAAATTTATAACAGGCTGTGCGAAATTGGTGCTGATTTTCTCGTTTTGTCGTCATTAATGAGTTATGTACAATTTTTAACAGCGGTTTCTTTTTGTTCACAGTAGTATTTAAGGCAAGATGTGAATTCCACGGTCATGGAAGAAGCAGAGTGCTATAACTGCAGTATATACATAGATTTAAACGGCACTCTCGATATCAACTCTACGAGAAATGGCACTGCTATTAACAAATTTTATTTCTACCAGGTGAGTGAGAGTAATTAAATGAAAGGTGAAATGTGTAAAAGCTGCATAATTCTTTTTCTATATATTTCCTGTCTATTACACATATATTTATACGTGAAGCAAAAACTTTGTACCCCTTTTTACGAAAATTGCCCGGTCGGAGGAGTATGAAATTACCCACACATATTTTTAATTATACAAAAAAAATACATTAAATCAATATAGAAAGCACGCACGCGTATACTCTTTTATTTATTGTGTATTGTATTTGAGAATAGATTGATATTGTTCAAACCTATAATTTAAATTAATTTTCGTCGAATTTCGATCACTCTACATCCGCTAGTATTATTAAATATTTCAATAAACTATGTTTTAGAAGTGTGAAGCCTCCCAGCACTGGCATTTAATGTTTTATTTCTAAAATATCAAATCAATTATGATCCAAGGAAAGAATCCAATTCCACTAACGATGCGGGCGTCAAAAAGTAGTACATTTCTTTCATTTCTTCGTGGTCTCTGATAATTTTATTTCGCCTCCAGCCGAGTGGCATCTCGATGTGTCTCTGATTTTTTTCTTAGAAACACTATGATTATTGTTTTGAAGAAATGTTGAGATTCCCTGCTGCTAATGCTTACCGCAGTAAAATGGGGGAAAAACAAATACCATTGATGCCATGTTGATGGCTTCTAGGATCTGAATGTCTTGCGCATATTTATCTTAACTAATTTTCCAATATATTTGGGTTTTTTTTAATTTAATTCTTTAATTATTTTTTTATTTAAAATATACTATTCTATTAACAAATATGTGCCACGGGAACTGCTAATACTCAAAACTTTATGTAATTTTTTTAATTTATGAGTGACCATATTTCCAAGCGACTATTTGGACCAGTGATTAATAGTATATAGCATGCTTCACTACAAAGCGAAAATTTATGGCATAGAACAGAATTCATCCTTTCAAAAAGCTATATGTACGATTATTTTGAGGATTATTACGTCAATCGAATAGTTTTAATCCTGCGTCTGTCGTTATAGACATAGACATAGACAGTAATTAAATTTCAATAGGGCAACAACCATGCGCCATGTTGAATTGAAAAAAATCCACAACAAGGTATTATAGTAAAAGGTTCAATTAAATTAGCATATAGGCCTTATCTAACTTCTAGCTATTGCTCAATCGGGTTTTTTGAAATTTTAATTCTACGTAGATACTTGTATAAATACACAAAAGATTGCGATGACACATCATTTAAAATTTTAATCGGCAATTCCATTCCTTTATTCAGATTCAAAAACTTATACTAACTCAGCTTGAAATTTGCGAGTAGTGCCAACCGAGTGCTTCTACGATGTATTTTATAGTTAACACTTAGAACTTAAGTTATGAAGGATAATCCCGTAATAATTTCAGTTTACCGAGGGTGAGAACAAGACCTTTAGTAATTAATTAAGCGCCTAATGTACTTCTTAACGTGTAACGACAAGACAGAATGTCGTTCTAATAAAATTGTATCATTCGCAAATAGCTCTGATTACGTGGACCGACAATGGATGTTAGGGTGCGAGTTAATTGTTCGAGAGAATTGCGCTTCTGAAGTATGGGTCTAGACACTTATTCTGTATTCTAATCTCGTTTAAAATGTGGTGTATTAGAGGGAACTGTTTTGTCTTGTATTCATTTCTGTCCTAATTAGAAGTCTTCAGAAAAATATTTCAATTCTAGTTGTTTGTTTACATATTTCAAGATATGTATTATTACAAATATTGTGAATTAAGCTACTACTATAATATAAAGGTATGAAAATAATTTAAAAAATATTCACCATATAGATGTTAGCTTTCAACTACCGAATTAATCATGTATGATACAAAATTGTAGAAAATGCAGTCATTCCGTTTTATAATTAATTATCGTATACATACAATTAAATAATCAGAAATCAATATGAAAGAGTCCAATTGGTCCTGCATGGAGGGATATTTTATGGCAAAATTAGTCAAATACGTATATACTTATATAAATAGAAGATATTTTAATTTTTTCCAAAATTTATTGTATACGCAAGAACCATGGCTTTTAATTCAATATACAATAATCCGGGCACCTGCACTCTAATCCGGATGCCGCCACGAAGTAGTTTTTTTACCAAGTTTTTGTTACAAAAGAAAATATGTTTATGAATCCCGTATATCTAAGACATAGTTAAAAAACCAGCCAAGTGCGATTTAGACACGCGTGCGAGGGGTTCCGTACAATTCATTATCTATATAATTGGCAAAAAAATCATGTCTGTTGTATGGGAGCCCCACTTAAAGACAGCGGAGTCTTAGTTATAGGGTCCCGTTTTAACCTTTGGGTACGGAACCCTAAAAATGTCTCAAAATTCTTCTATCCCTACAGACGGCGCAGTTGGCGGTGTTGTGGGTGCTGCTTGTCGCGATCGTCGCTGGGAACGCCACCGTGGTGCTGGCGCTGATGCTCACCAAGTCCAGGAAAAGTCGAATGAACTTCTTCATCATGCAACTCGCCATCGCCGGTAGTGTTAATAATGGTGTACCCTGACAACTGAGTCGACGCAGTGACCATATTCCATTTTTAGAGTCAACGTTATTATGTGTTTTAGCCTGGGTATTTGTTTATGTGCGATTTATGTGAATAACCACAGTTCACACACTTGAATTTCCTCTAACTTTCATAATTGATAATAGTTAATTTCTTTCTTAGAATATCATACTTCTTTTAAGTTATTTAAACATTTCAGACAAACAATACTTATCGTACCGCGCTGTATGTTCAATCGATGTTGCGATTTCTTTGTTTGTTTTTGCGATTTCCTTGTTTATCTCTTGTTTTTTACAAAAGATTTAATGAATAAATATTTTTGTAATGTCTTACACACATTTAAAATCTGTATTCTTTAATTTTAAAACTATTGTCGCCTTTCAGATTTATGGGTTGGATTAATAAGCGTTCTGCCCGATTTGATTCAAAGAATAACGATATCGTGGTTTGCTGGATCGGTTGCATGCAAGTTGATGAAATATTTACAGGTTTGAAAATCTTTATTTACAAACATTTAGACCATTTTAAACAAGCAATATTAGGTAGCAAAGCAATATTAAATAAATATATTAACATTGAACTTAACATTGTATATTCTACTTCAAAGCGACTGCATCGAAAAAGTTAAACTTCATTAAAATATATCTTTTATACCCTTCAATAATAAAAGGAATCATAATAATTTATAGGTTACAAGGGGACAATTGTTTTTTTTTGACATAGTTTCAAAATAATATACCCTAGACTTATCACTGCGGCTGGTGATAAGGTGGCTGGTATTTTTTTCTGGCTCAAAAATAGCTTAATAGTTATGCATATAGTCAGCGAGGAAATGCAGCTAGCGTTCTTGGTACTATGCCGCGTGGACCAGGTTCGTTAGCTAACATATAATTTACTCAGTATTTAATTGTATATACTATTTGATTGTTTATATACGTGTATATCATTAGTCAGCATTGTAAGTATTTTGTTGAATAAATATTTAATATTGAAAAAGATTAAAACAAATAATTTTGTTGTTCTTTTAAGGGTGTAGTCACATATTCCTCTACATACGTTTTGGTTGCGCTCAGCGTAGACAGGTGCGATGCCATAACACATCCAATGAATTTCACCGGAAGCTGTAAGTTTTATAGATGTCGGTCTATGTTTTTTTTTATCGTAGTAGAGCCACGCAATAGCCTCTGCTCTGGTCCAAGGTGGTTCTTTTTAACGTGGAGAAAAACCTTTATACATCTCCTGCCACTAGATCAGGTGAGTCGCAGGTATGTGGGAGTTCCCGTCAGAATCGGGTACCAGCCCACGTTGACCCTCTCTCTATCTCATGAGCTGGGGACACGGGAATAAGAACACGCAATCTTTCGCGACTATATAGTCTTCTCCATTCTCAAGAGAATGGAGTTGTGGGGTAATGACTGGGTGACAACGCAATTGTAAAACCACGAGTGTCGTAGACGTTTTACTTACTTACTTTTTAATGTGTATAAACAAACTCATTTTGTCTAAAAATTGATTTACTCTTTACTATTACTTTCTGGACGTAAAAGTATACTTTAATTACTTCTTTGGCGCACTTTGTAGCCTTAATGGCTTGACGTATTTAACATATAGGATGTCATTAAGTTCGCCTTAACCTAAAAGCCGGGTAAGGATAACAAGGATAGCGAGACGAGCAAGAAATCCTATTTTTCATATTCTCAATTATTTTAAAAATATCTTTCTCATTTATAAGTTAACGTAGAGGAAAATTAATCTAGTTAAAAAAATATGGTTAAAATGTGATAATTGTGCGATGATTGACTTTTCCTTTTCATTTCAAGGGCGTAGGGCGAGAGCTCTAATAGTGAGCGCGTGGTTGGTCAGTTTCCTATTCTGCATACCTATGCTGTTCCTTTTTGAAGAAGCGGATATTGAAGGTAATTAATTTAAAATATATATATAAAGGTAATTAATTTAAAATACGAGTATTTAACATGAATGTTGTATTTAACGTAAAAAACGGGAGAGGTCACAACGGTCCCAATGCATTTGGACCTGGAGCGGTGTTATTATTATTTACCTGTCCTCATCAGGCACTCTGCAATGTTGGTCCAGCATCAACGAGTTGCAATGGCAGATCTGGATGACTAGCGTGTTCGTCTCCTTGTTCGTGGCTCCAGCACTGACCATATCAGCCTGTTATGGCGTCATCGTTGTTACGATACGGCAGAAGAGTAGAAGAGTTCTGGGCAAAAGGGCAGCTGCGACAAGACAGTGTGAGTTGTTTATAATATTATTTGATAAACAATTATTAGAAGGTGGCAATCAGTAGAAGGTGGCAAGCGAGATGGTGAATCACCTGATATTTATTGATAAGCACCCATAGATATTATATTGCACGGATCTGCTTCGCGTGACCCTACCACTTTTATTTTGCTTCCTAAATCCCAAATGTTTTATACACTTTATGGTCTCTGTAATAATCATGTTAAAACATGAGTCTATACGACAATTACTATCCAAAACTCAGTCAGTCCGAAGATTAGTTAGTTATGTAAGATGCATTTACGACCCTGCTCACTGTATTTAAAATTACTTTTTAATAAAGAAAAAAATAACCAGTTATATAGAATATTGATGCTTTTAAACAAATTGAAACATTTTATCAAGTACAAAATGAAAACAAGAAAATAAATCGAATACGTTTCTGTCATTAATAAAGAAAGTCAAATGAGATGAATTGGCTAAATTAATTGAAACGTGACTAGACTTGTAATGATGCTAGAATGAAGGCTTTGATTCGTCTTAAAGTAACTTACTATTTCCAAAAGTATATTCATCTTTACAAACAAGCTTTTAATTGATGGCATTGTAAATCTTAGGGCGTTTAAATGATCGCAATTTAAATTTTTTTACATTTTCTTTCATTTGTTTGGTTGCGATTTTTATAGAATTCATTAACTTGTTACTTTATCAACATTTTATGTATGGGATAGTAAGCCATACTGCGGTCTTTCTACATTTTCTCTTTGCTTCACGTGAAATTCTGCATCAATTATTTTAATTTTTCAGTTTAATTTTAATAACATCGAAATAATATATTCTAGCTTATATGCATATATACAAAACATGGTACGTGCATTGTGTTTATTGGAAATTTCAAAACTGTGGTTATATAACGGGAATGCGTTAATTACGGTGGCAGGGCCACGCAGCAGCTTCGGCTGTTGCACCAATGGACAGGCTCGTCTAGTAAGTACCACGACCACACAGAAGACCGGTGTGAAGTGGGAGTATAATACTTTCGCGTTTCGTCTGGTGAGTCAGGTGGCCGGAGCCCAATTTTCAAAAGGTTGTCAAAGCATCTGGAACTCTCGGGTGTGGCAGATGTTAATGGGCGTCGGTATTCACTAACATCAGGTGAACCGTCTAAAAACCGTCTAAAAAAAATAAAAAAGAAGTAAATTGTTACTCTACTTGACTGCTACCTATTTGTATAATTATGTAACACTACTGGGCAAAGGCCTTCTCTGTGCAGAGAGTGTTAGGACATAGTCCACGCCGAGACCCCACCGCAGACAGACTTCTCATATCTTCGAAATATTTTATATGCTATTATTATTATTTCGAAAATATGCAAATGTCAGCACAGAAAATTTCCATTAAATAACATATTTCAAAATGTTAAATTGTTACCAAGCACCCTGTTTTCTATGAAGAAATAATTGTCAAAAACGTACTTGTTGTAAACTATGTTAAAATAATAATGTCTTTTTATTATGATAAATAAAGCGAGCAAAGTTTTGTTGATTGCATTATAACACCTATTTTAGAGATTTTTGTTATTATATTAATTTCTTGTTTCGTTGTATACATTTATTTCAGATAGCGACGATTTGGATAGCCGTCGAGCGAGTAGCCGAGGTATTATACCTAAGGCAAAAATCAAAACCGTGAAAATGACCTTTGTCATTGTTTTCGGTAAGAATTAAAACGTGAATTTTATAGTTAATCTTCATTGAAAGATATTTATTCCTGTTAATTCTTAAGCGGATGTAATCAAATAAAACAATTCACTAATAATTCATTAAATATTTCACTTTGGATTTCATTTTAAGATGCATAAAATAAATCGCAGCTTGGCTGGCAAAAATAATTTTTCTTTTTTACTATAAAACGTATCGTATTTTCAATGTTGGATAATTATGAGGGAAAACTTATCTTGGGAATAAAAATGTATACATCGTAAAAACTAGATAAAAAACCACTAACAACCTACGAAACAACTCTCTCAGCATGAAAGCTATATTCTAAGGCAAAAACTGCTTAATATCATGAAACACTTTATGACCGAGACGATTATGCGTAAGTGGATGGAATCGTCGTTCTTAAGTGACCGTTAGAGGTCGCTATAAATTAATTTTTATCGCATAAAAATTGTACTAAGCCAACTCATTCTGAGCAGCTCTGAATAAGACCTAAGATCTTGGAATAAATTCTAAAATGTTTCCACATGATTTTATGATGAATGTAGTGGTATTTAGAATGCTGTTCTAAATTAATATTTTTAAAATGGATTTTCACTCGACTTCAATAAAACAGGCCGTTCTGAATTCAGTTGTGTTTTTTATGCTTACAACCCCAAGAGTACGTTGTTTATAAACTGATTAAAGTCAATGATTGATTTTAAACCAAACCCAATGCAATAAGAATTTAAATTAATTTATATTGCATTTTTTTTTTTTTGTAAAAGTAATTTATATTGCATTTTTTATTTTTTTAATAAAAATGAAATTTAAATTAATTGACATTCTTGTTGTATTGGGTTCGTTAAAGTTTTTTTTTTTTGGTTCCATATTAATTTCATTGCTATTAGGCCTTGAACTTCGGATATACATTAGGAGAAATAAAATACATAAGATAATACAAATAAAATATAATGAAAGTCAAATATTTGAAGTCAATTTTGAGTTTAATTGCAAACAAGTAAAATATTTTTACTTGTTTGCATTCAATACATTCAAACGCATTATAAATCAAATAAATCTTCTTAACATATTCTCTCTTGATTTGAGAACTGTTGATGTTGTTGAGTTACTTTCTTTTTTTTTTTTTTTTTTGAAAATTCCTTTAACTTTCGCTTCGCAGTATATTACTATTTTATGATTTTATTCATAAAAAACAAAATGGACAATAAAAGTTATCAAAACTGTAACAACCAAAATATCATAAATTTAGCAAAACGCATGCAAAACTTTAATACAGTTTTAGAGCTTACATATCTTGTAGTGGCCAGAAGAATACTAAAAGGGCGTGTGGAATCCTGTTTATATAACAAGTGATTCAAAAAATATTTCTATGCATTATAGGCTTGAACTAAGTTTATGTTACATTACATAACTTAGAACTCGTTACTTCAAAATTAAATTATTTTTACAAATATTAATATGTTTATGACCGACTTGATGTAAATAAAGACTATTATCATTTGATTCGCAGTCTTCGTGCTGTGTTGGTCGCCGTACATGATCTTCGACTTACTGCAAGTGTACGGTTACGTACCAGACACGCAAGTAAACATCGCCATAGCGTCGCTCATCCAAAGCCTTGCCCCTCTAAACTCTGCTGCAAATCCAGTCATCTATTTCATATTCTCCAACAGGATATTCATCAGTCTTAGGCAAGTATCTTGACCTAAAGAATTTTCTGCGCTACAGAATGTCTCATAGAAACTTCAAAGCTTCCTACTTAATAAATCTACATGCAAATACAGGATATTGTGATTCAAGAATAGAGACATACGTCCCATTTGAAAATGATGGCTTCTTTGAAATATAGTAAATGGCATTTAACGCAATTCAATTTCAATTCGCAATAAGATTTGTGACTTAAAACACGTAATCTACCATCACTTTGCGGCGGTAGAATTCGTGATTTAATAATAAATAATATATATATAATCGTAGCATAGTTTTATCTCATCTCCTCGTCACCATAGGGAGGCATAAATCACTAACCCTATAATGGAATACATGTTTTCACCACATCTATCCATTCTGACGCTTTTAGAAACATTCCGCCGTATAAATGGTTTTGGTGCTGGATGAAGAATACTGGCAGCCCAACAGGCAATGAGTCTCGGGCCCACACCGAGCTGTTGACGTCGTCACATCGGAGGACTAGACACGAGCTGACCATAAGAGTGCGTATTAGATTGTAGTCAGCGATATAAACAAACTTGTCATCGTTATCAACGTAAAGAACACACGTGTATTTGTCACATATTTAAATAACTAGCTACTGCCCGCGACTACGTCTGCGTAGAATAGGCTGAAGGCTTAACATTCAGACAGAAAGACAGATATGCATAAAAATATGCATATAAATTTTACCCTATGCTTTATTCTGATGTATAAGCTATATTATTGTAAAGTTTAATTAAAATTCATTCAGTAGTATTTGCGTGATAGAGTAACAAACATCCATCCATACATACAATATTTATTAGGATAGTAAGGATATAAATAGTTTAAGTTTCTCTTATCTGTCACAGGTGTTTATTTTGCTTTTATACTGTTCTGTCTTAATACGCTTATGTGTAAAATATTTTTTTAAATTACTGTGCTATTTCATAAAAAAGTATAATAAAGTATTTTCGAAATATTTTTTTATTATTATTCCTCACCTCGCTATGTCATGCAATTTCCCTTAAATAAAAACGGTCCGTAAATAAAAAGAAAAAATAACAATACGCCCAAAAGCTATCTAATTAAGTATTTATATAAGCATTGGAATTTAATGTAAATTCAGTATCATTTCGCAGCTCAAGGACGACAGCATAAAGGTGCCGAAGCAGCGAATCCATCAGTGTAATAGCAACTCCCGCAAGGTACGCCTGCATGTACCGGAAGGACAAAATCAGATTAATAACAACAGTCACCAGCAACCTGGAAGAACGAGGGAAGATACATTTTTGTAATAAACCCGTGAAGAAACAGTAAAGAAATACTAAATGATCGCCTATTCTGTAATACTATAATGCTAATAGGAAATCGATTTGTGACATTTTCTGAGTATAAATTACGTATGTACGTGTATGACTAATGAATTCAAAAATCCTAGTCATGAATACTAAACCGCGCAGCACGTGCATGAAAGACTTTTTAAAGGAAGGTCTACCTACACCTATGCAGTTGTGTATATTGGCTGTACTTATAAAGGATTCTGATGACGTGTTTCAAAATAAAGGTTTATTGGTGTGTTTAAAATGTAAGTTCAAAAATATCGACAGGGTTAAAGCTAATGTGACCCTAATATTTCCTACACTATTTATTTAATGGTATTAAATTTATAATGACTGTCATTCGGCCATGACAATGACCTGCCAATATTCGTTTATAATTTATCTTTCTGTTATCTTTCACTTGCTTTCAGCGTCTAACTGCAATTGAACATATGTGAATTTTAATGATAACTTGGAAATTCTCGTGGGAGGCTTTTAAAATCGCAATACAATAAATGGTACTGCCCATGACAGCTTATCAGAGACTTGTCACACAGTAATTGTAACTATTAAGTTACTAACAATTGATTGACAGACGGTTAGCGCGACTACGTGTGGCTTCACTATTTAGTCAACCAACGGAGAGCCGCGTATCCACCGACGTCGAGACTAACTGTTGCAATCCGTAAAAATAAAAATGTTAGCGCCAAACCCAGAAACAATTTTACTAGAATTGGTGAAATTATATTCAATAGTTTATAGAAAATTGTGTCATATAACAAAATTCACTTTCACCTAAAGTTGTGTTCGTAAAGCCATCTGGTTAAGGTCACCTTTCTTAGGCGTTGAATTAAGGGGCAAATAAATATCTAAGTGTTTTATTATAATAAAAAAACAGAGTACAGGGATTATTTAGAGAATGAGATTGGCTTTACCAGTCTATTAACATTTTATATAATAAATAGTTTGATTGTACCAAATGATAAAATTAATCCTAGCTACTTAACTATTCAAATGCATATACATATGTACGTAGCAAATAAATTCATTCCCAGCCAGATTAATATCGATGAAAAAATCTTATTTAACAATAATAGTCCATTTATAATGGCAAATAAAGTGTGTAACTTCGGCAAATCACAAGAATTAATATTTGCATAAATATAAAGTAAATATAAAAATATTTAGTTTCCCCATAAAATAACATCGCTAAGTTTTAATTTTTTTTTTCATAATTGAAACTGTGGATTTAGACACATGCACTGTTCGTCCTGGTTCAACAGGTTATGTTGAAATGATATTAAGGTAAAAACATAATTATTTAAGTTTAAAATCAAATGCACCCCATTTAATATAACCGATCAAAATAAAATTAAACCATTCTACTAGTCGGTGTAAATTTTTAACTCACGACTGTTTTGTAACGTATCGTTAAATGTCACTCATGCACATTGTGAAATTGATTATATCGATAACCTTACTCAAGTATATTCACGTAGTTATTTCTAATTTATACAAGTGCCAAACTTGACTCGAGTATAACTCTTCTGTTTTGGTATAATCTTATCAATGTTCATTCGAATATACGAGTATCTATGTTTTTAATTGTAATTTTATACTTAACATAAATTGAAATAATAAATGTAATAAAATTGTATTAATGTGTTTTACTACCACCCTAAAGTGATAAAATTTGTAATCTCTGTACCGCTCGGGTACAATTTGAATAACTTTTTACTCATCTCAGTAAAACATTCCATGTATATGTATAAACTTTATTATCATCTTTCAAATTAATCACTTGTTACACACTAAATACATTTATACATGCATATTTATTTTTAAGAGCCGTAAGAACTCAGTGTCCTGGCACTCGTTTATTATTCTTCTTCTTTCTATGTACTCGAGCAACCTGAGTCCAATTGCCGGCACCAAAGAAATTGTTTATTTTCAGTGCTGATTCATCACTGCTCAGCGGTTAGAGAAAATATCGTGAGGAAACCTGCACGTTTTCAAAATAATATTAAAAATGACATTTCAAAGATATGTGAAGTCCGCCAATCCGCAGTGAGTTCGCGTGGTGGACTATGCTCTGGTACCCTCAGTACAAAGTTTGCCTTTGCTGAGTTGCGGGACATACGGGCTATAAATATAGGCTGTCAATTTATTTTTTAATGTTTTGGGTAGTACACAAAATTAGAACAATGATTTACATTGAAACATGTATGGCAAATCGAAATTTTTACATTGGATATTGTTTCTGTACTATAATTTTAAACAAATCTGAAGAACCTCTTAAAATCCTCATTGAAGAACTGCATTAAATATAAATGCCATCGTATAATACTATGGTACTGTATTAAATATAAAAATATACTCATAGTCCTGATGTGAGCAATGTCAAATTGCATTTGTAGAAAATAATAAGCTCGTTTATGGAAAAAAAACCAGTAGTTGTGAAAAGTGGGGGAGCGATCAAGAAACGGGGTGTCTGATGATTTCGCGACGGAAGGAGCGAGTCGCTTTGAAAAGAATAATAATTATTTAACGTTAACAATTTTGGCATGTATTTGACAACTAGCACTGATGGTACTCATTACTTACGAGTTGATGTACCCGTCAATTGTTAATATAAAGCATCGTTTCACAGTCACGATAAATATCTCAATGCCTAAGTATATAATATTATAGAAATTTACGTCAATTAAGAAACTATTATATGCGAGTGTTTATTTTATCATAATTAAGTATGAAAAATGTCTTTCTCTTTTTCCATTTAACTGGTGATAAAAACAAGAGGTTCCAATTTGTTAAAAAAAGACCATTTACATAATATTTATACATAGATAGTAAGGAATATGAAATAAACAGTGAACTTTTTATTTATAAGTGCTTAAAATATCTCACCGTGTCACCGCAGTTTAATGGAAATTCTACAAGAGCTACGGCGTAGCTGAATCGTAGAATTCAACGTCACTACAAAGGAATTTTAATTAGTCACGTAAGAACGTGTCTTCTAACGAATAGTTTTAAGTTAATAAGAAAATAAACCCTCTACTCACAGTTTAAAATTGACTGTATAAAAAGGAAACTTCCTATACGAGTACACTTAAATATTTTTTACTTTTACTTACGTTTTTCTTTATTTGTGATCTTCGTAGCATCAAAATTTTAATAAAAGTCTAGTGTAAACAACTTACAAAGCATTTATCAAACATCGACATCATATGACCATAAATTTAAATATCCTAATTAGACACTAAACATGCAGAAATTTACGGCATCTAAATAAAAAAAAATCCATAAATTTATAACCTGATTTAAATTATTTCCCATTGCCTTTATGAAAATATGCAATAGGAATATAGTTGGCGTAATTTAAATTATGTCAAGTTTAGACAGTAAGCAATTTACTAAAAATAGAGTGCATCAACACACATGTAGACACATTACGTGGAAATAAGAATGTGTATGGTTGACGCCTAACCTGTGTCTGTTTGTGTATATACGTATTTTTAACCAACTTCAAAAGGAGGTGATTGTCAATTCGACTGTTTTTTTTTTTTTTTAATGTTTGTTACCTCAGAACTTTTAACTGAGTGAACCGATTTTGATGATTCTTTTTTTATTTGAAAGCTGGTGCTTCCCATGTGGTCCCATATTAATTTCGTTGGTATTGGATCTTGGGATCCTGAGGTGGGAACTTCTAAAACTCAATTACAAAATGAACACAGGGCGAGATATTTGAAGTCGGTTTTGCTTTCCGTTAGTAAAGAAATGGTTAATATATTGACCGTTAACTTATTAATTGGTATCATGAGCGGATATTTTATAACTGATGTGGATTCGGTATGAGGAAGGAGAATCGAAATCGATGGAAGTAAAAACCGACATGAGAAGAATCGGGTTGGAATTAAACGTGACCGGAATGCCAACGTCTGGCAAATATGTGATGGTATATAGTTTGTGATTTGTAGTCCTCCACGCCGAGAATTGTTTTGTTACTATACATACACATTTGACATCACTACATAGTATAAAACAAAGTCATCCCGCTGTCTGCCTGTCCCTATGTGTGCTTAGATCTTTAAAAGTACGCAACAGATCTTGATGCAGTTTTTTTACTAGATAGAGTGATTCAAGAAGAAAGTTTATATGCATAACACATTGCACCCGTGGGAAGCCGGGGCGAGTCACTGGTTTTTATTAATCCTTCTTTAAGTCACACGAATATTTGACTTGGCGAGTGAAATTATTACATCCAAAACTATAAAATGATTATCCAATTCACCCTGATGAAGGAACGCCGACAGGTCTAAAACTAGTCAGTACGTACATCGATTAAACATGAGTTCAGCTGTCGTATTATTTCGTTATACAATAATATGACTAAAGAAGCTGTAAAGAGTTTAGAGCACCACGTAAAGGAGAGTTAAATAAAAAAAAAGAAATGAAATTTTATTAATAAATGAAAGCGTTTGGCTACAATGCGTCTTCTCGCGAAATGCATTAGTTAAAAAATCATTTTTCAGGAGAATGAGGACTAAGCAAAAAAATAAGGAAGTTGTTCTAACATCAAAATAAGTAATATAATAAATATATTTCTAACGATATAATAAAGAATAAAAGGCATTTTAAAAGGACAAGTCCAAAAAACGACTAACGAATCGTAATGTTGCGTGAACTACGTATTATCTGTTGCCTGTACTGTTATAATCTGATGTATTTAATATATTAAATGGATTTCAACTGCCATTAGTGTTGTCAGACGTCAATTTTAAATGTCAGCTGCTGTCAAGGGTTCAGTTGTCACTCGGTGCTTATTTCTATGGACATCGGATCTGACTATTTGCCTATGAAAACTATTTATATAAAAACCGGCCAAGTGCGAGTCGGACTCGCGCACGCAGGGTTCCGTAAAATTATATATATACGACAAAAAATGTGTGTCGAGAGCCCCACTTAAATATTTT